TAGAGGATTACGATTCTGAGTCTGATTCCGATCTCGAAAATGAATTAATTATATCTATTGTCAACCCTACAGTTAAATATCCCGTTGCTACTAATACTGTATAAATCGCACGGTGTACTTTTACATTTTTTTTGTTTGTGTCCCAGCGACAGAAATCGGTTACGATTACTAAACCGGCATACATTATGTCGCATGTGGGTGACGACACAAATTAGCCAGTCGTCGAAAATGTGTCATAAAAAATATATCACGACACTGACGACGGTGTCGCATTTCAGTCGTCGAAAATGTGTCATAAAAAATATATCACGACACAGACGATGGTGTCGTATTTCAGTCGTCACGACACATGACGACGGTGTCGCATTTCAGTCATCACAACACATACCTGAGACATTTATAGTCTAAGCTAAGTCGTTTGGAGTTTATATAAACTCCAAACGACTACATTGAATGGCGATTCATAAACTTTATCCGAAGGATGCCGAAAGTGCCGACGGCAACTACCGAATGGATGGTAGAATTTCCCCCCGCGATCGCGTGTTTGATGGTGCGGAAATGATCGAGGCACGAGTCACGAATCTCAGGTTTTGCGGAGTACAGCTTGTCGCACTCATCAACGAAAATAACGACAGGATTCCAGTCTGAGAAAGCAAGCCGAAAGTCCCGACCAATAAAGTGGCCCTAGTGGCTGTAATATATTTTTCGAATAAACTTTACGTGGACACATGATCGAATATCGGCCATATAGTCACACCGGGAAATTGATTTCATGATGCACTCTCAATATCATTCTCAAAATCAGATTTTCAAAGCTGATGACTGGCTGAAGATGTCATACATATGGTCACGTTACTGTAACCGATTCTGGTGATCGTGGGGTACTGTTGTGAAAAGGTCTAGAAACTTCCAATAATACGTCATTGATTAAGCCACTGATCAGCGTATATTACTGTATTGCAGCAAACGAAGCACCCTGTCTCAATATGGAACTCTACCCGGAAATTTCGCGTCTTACTCTTGACGACGATGAAAAGACAGCACTGTTCGTGCATTTTACCAATAAACCTGCTCAGAAAGCAGAAGCGGCTGCAGTTCTATCAGCCTGCAATAACGACGCCGCCAGGGTTAGTTATCTGAAGGGTCTCTTGGCGGCTGCTCAACCAGGTAACGACTTTGTGACTCGGGCGTTGGGGACATAGGTAGTGTGTACGTGGGTGGGTTAGAGTGTTTGCAACGTTGACTAACTTGTGCTTTTTTTTCTTTCCTGTTTAACGCCTCCAAAAAACGTATTCACGTTATCGTTGAAGCTTCCGTTGCCACCGGTGAGTTGTATAAGTTTAGACAACACATTGAACGCGACCTTTTAATAGCCGTGGTTTCATTCTTGTTTACACTGTGTCATACGTTTTAATTTAAAACATTTTTCTACTTTTTCCTACTTATCATCAAACACCGCTCAAAAAACACATTCACACCATTGTAGTGGGTAAGTACAAAGAGCCATATTCTTGCCATGATTTATTCTTGGCTTAGTTATTTATACTGAAGGACCCCTTCCTTGTAGAAAATAATTCAAACGATGTATTTCTCTTCGTGGACAATTCAAATTTCTTCATCCAAGCGAAAAAATCCACTAAGTCACCTACGCTCAATATTGATTACGGACGGCTCCTTATGACAATTAAAGGTGAACGTAACATGCCCGATCCGCCAGTTCTTGTTGGCTCAATTCCGCCACCATATGATACATTTTGGAGGCACATTGAAAAAAAGGGGTACAATGTCACTCTGTTTGAAAGAAATATCAACAATCATGAAAAAGAAGTTGATACCACAGTTGCATCGCGTATTGTTCAAACTGTCTACAAAAACAGCCATCCTGCTATAATTGCATTGGTTGCAGGTGATCTCGATTTTCGCCCCCCAATAAATATAGCTCTTGATGAAGGGTGGAAGGTCGAATTATGGCATTGGGACACTGGTATGAAACAACTGTCATATGTTTTTGAAACAAATCTGCTTTTTCTTGAACAAATCTGTACCCTGTTTTATAATTAGATGACTCAACTCATGATGAGCATGTCCCTCCCTCCCTAGGAGCTGCTTCTTAACTAATGAATGATCCCAGGATCATTAAAAAGAGTTTGAATGCATGTTATAAGAAGTTTGCATATAACCGACAACCATATGATACTCGAAGAATGCATATTCTTGAAATCCTTGGTGGTACTACAGACATAGTAATGGATTGTTTTCTTCAGATTGACATGTTGGGTTGTTGGAGTCAAGGGATCGATTCGACCTTGAAATTATATTTTACTAATCGACGAAAGTGGTATCGGGCACGAAATTGGTTGAAAGAAAACTATCCTAATTTGTGGGTTGGGGGGAAAATGCGTAGAAGTTAAATTCGACATGATATGACAGATTGAAGTATTCTTCACATACACATGATGTACTATATATCTCATTATTGATGATTTTCATGTTCCACGAGACACGGAGTGTCATTTCTCCGAAATACTTTATGTCGATCATACCCGTGATGTGATTGGTTGATAAATTTCCGATCGTTAACGGTTTTTTAATCATTCTGATTGGATGGATCATACCGCAGGCCTAATTATATGCTTGTAGTACATCCTGAAATAGATGTAACCCTGAAATAGATTATGTAACGATTATCCCAGTTATAGAACGACACATTATCAATCTTGATTGGTATATATGCTATCGATTATCTGGATTAATTATTTTTTTTTTGGCGTAAGTGATCGGTGTTCCGTGGTTCAGATTATTGCAAAATGCTCTTTATGAAACAATAAACTAAACTGGATAACTCAAGACTTTTTAGATTCGGGCAAAGTAGATAGGGAAAGAAAGAACTTACTGATTGTATGCAAGCTTGTAAAATAGCTTTTCTGATATTATCTATGCTGGATCAAACAGATTCCGTATTTAGAAGCAAATATTAATTTTCATACTAGAGTTTTATTTTAATTAACGCTTACAGCTAGAACATTTGCACGCTTTTGTCTGGTCGACGACATTCTCGAAATCATTGATGAAGAACAAAGGCGACGATTGAGGCCTAAAATTGACAATTGATTCAAAAAATTTTGTTAACTTTCGCGTTCTAACTTTCAGATCGGCGGCACCAAGGCCATGATGCCATACTGGAAGAAATAAACAAAACAGTCAAACTATTGATTTGTCTGTACCTTAGTAACAGCATTGGGAAAAACTGGATATGACTTTTTAACGTAATAACACGTTCTGAAAACGCAATACAGTATACGGCTCTCGCATACGTCCTAGTTTTATTGTCGATTTTGAGTTTGAATAAGAAAAAACACTAGTTGTAAATCAAAAAAAAGTTATTGTTAGAAACCAAAAACGCGATATAGAAGACATGTGCCTTTCAAGCAAAACATTCGAGAAATTTCTACAAACCTCCACCATATACGTGGCTTATCGGTAGTAAATAATCCCGCCTCCCGCCGCCCAACAACACGACACCCAGCTATCACAGAGATTAAAATAGTACGCGTGGCTTATCGATAAACCACTGGTCGCTACCTCCTGACTGCCCCGTG